CCACTAAAATGGTGTCTTTTCCTTGAGATTTAGGCAATCCTTCAATAAAATCCATGGAGATATTAACCCAGATGACTTCAGGTATAGGCAGGGGTTGCAAGAGACCTGCAGGGGACTGAAGAAGGGGTTTTATTTTTCTGACAAACTTCACATTCTTTTATCAATTGTCTGATTTCTTTCTTCAATTTTTTCCAGTAGAATAGGGTTCTCACCTTTTTGTAAGTCACTTCCACTCCTGAATGACCACCCAAAGCAGAATCATGCATTAGTTGAAGAATTTCAGCTCTTAATCTGTCATCATTTCCTACTACCAATCTTCCCTTTCTCATTAATTTCTCATCCTTCCAAGAGTATTTGCTATTGGTCAAAGAGCCATCTTTTAGTTGCTCAATTAGCTGTTTGCTCTCCTCAGTTTCCCAGCTTTTTTGAATCTTTTGTAGCAAATCAGATCTCACCTGAGTTAATATCATGCTCATTATTTCAGCTCCTTCCACTCTCGATAAAGCATCAGCTGCCAAATTTTCATTTCCCTTTTTATAAATGACTTCATAATCCATTCCCAACAGCTTAGGAAGACATTTACTTTGAAATGTTGTGGTTATCTTCTGCCCCAACAAGTACTTTAGGCTAAAATGATCAGTTTTGATGACAAAGTGACCACCAACAAGGTAAGGCCTCCACTTCTCTACTGCCATTACCACAACCAATAGCTCCTTTTCATATGTAGATAAGGCCTTGTTTTTCTCTGCTAAGGCCTTACTGATGAATGCAATTGGATGTGCATCCTGTGACAGCACTGCTCTAATGCCTACATCCGACGCATCTGTTTCAACTGTAAACTGTTTGTTGAAGTCAGGAAGAGCCAACACTGGAGCTTTGCACATGGCTTCCTTCAAGTTTTCAAATGCCTCGGTAGCTTCTTCATTCCAGTGAAAGGCATTTTTCTTAAGAAGGTTGGTAAGAGTTTTGCTAATGATTCCATACCTCTTAATAAACTTCCTATTATATCCCGTTAGCCCAAGGAATCCCCTCAATTCCTTGATGTTCTTGGCAGTTGGCCAGATTTTCATAGCCTGCACTTTGGAAGGATCAGTAGCCACACCTTTTTCAGATATGATGTGACCTAGGTACTCCAATCTCTTTACCCCTTAGGGATGGGATGCCATCCTTTTTTTAGGAAATTATTATAATGTAGAGCCTTTACTTGTCCGTTTTCCACAACCAAACGTATCACAATGCCGTGTAAGATTGAGCAGTTTGTCGATGTTAATTATTGCTCTCTTAAAATTCTAGTTCTGATATGAACCCTTGTATTAATCAGACTCTATTAATCAGACTCTATTTTTTTGTAAGCCTAATCATTAATCTCACACGAGACCATATGACTTATAATTTCTTTTAATCAAGAATAATAGGTTCTATTCAGTTTTTATAATTTCTTTTTAATCGTCACCTATATGGCTTACAACGAGACCATGGTCGTCGGTCCTAGTAGTACGGTGGCGGCATCCTTGGCCCCGACCTCCATTGTCCCTTCACAACACTCTCTCTCTACGTCCAAGGTGCCTTCTCTGCCGCTAACTTTCTCTATCGCGGTGATGGCCCAGTCCTCCTTCCTGCCTCCGTTGTTTAAGCTGACAACCTCTCTCTCAGCACAGTCATGGGTGTCGTCGGTGTTTACATGGACACATACATCTCTGGAGCCGTATCATGCTGCTTCATTGGTCCTTTCAACAGTTTCATTTCTTTACCGTGGCGAACAGCTTACCGGGAGTATTACCTCCCCCAACTTCAAGCGCTATAGGTCATCACATGCAGCAGGGGCGTAAGTAGGGGCAACCTAGGCCCAACCCACCCAAATTAAAAAAAAATGCCTATATTTTTAGTGTAATTTTGTGTAAACATTTCCAAAAAAATCATTATACCGCCCAGTCCGGTCCAATGCCATAGCTTTGCCCCTAACACGCAAGACGTTTCTCCTCTAGCAACTCTCTCCTAGCCTTTGGCTTAGTAGGAGTATTTCCCGCACAGGTACCTCAACGGTGGCTTAGTGAGTTTGTTGGATTGAAGTGTCAGATTCAATTCATATAGCAACAATGTGGGAGTTTCATCCAATGTGGTGGCTCCTTGTGTGCACCAGGCGCTGAACCCCTTAGAAAACTTTTGAGATTATAACGTGACTTACTCCTCCACCATTTTATTAAAAAAATAAAGAAAAAATTATATGTAAAAATAGCTAAAATGGTCATCTACAGTAACTTTAGCCAATACAGCCAGAAAAGTAACTCTCACCTTACTTTTTCTGCTTATTACACAATTCAGCGCGCGAAAGCAAAAGTTACGTGTTTCGTGAAAAAGCTAGCTGATAAGCCTGATAAGCCGAAAAACAGTGTTGCCAAAGGCCTCTAATTCTCCGGTTTTGGATAATGATTTTCTCCCGTATACAATTCTTGAATTGGGTCCGGATTATGAATCCCTTAAAACTATTGTCATTTTCTTTCCAAGGAGTTTGACATTTGACAATAAGCTTCACACATATTTGGTTGATCAAGAACAACCTTCTTATTTGGATGTCGTGATTGAGGATATTAGACACAATCCCCTTAACGGAGCAAGTATTGAAGTCAAGCAATGCAAGAGATCCATGAATAGGGCAGCCCATACATTAGCTAGGGAGTAGGGAAGCTCTCTCTAAGCCGGATGGAGTTTTATTTTTTACTAATGCACCTAATTGTATTCAAAGTCATTATGGCTAGTTTTCTTTTTTTTTTTAAAAAGAACAACGCTACCTGTATTTTCACTCCCAGGACCCTATGATCACCTCCCTGGCGTTTATTCACACACTATTCACTTATTTTCTTTTTTCCTATTACTAATTATTTGATCAGACTGTCCAAAACAGTGGAGGAGCTGGGGAGGGGCATGAGGGGGCAAGCGCCCCCGCTTCGGGCCAAATAAATTAATACTACTACTTACAATATATTTAATGCTCCCATTTAAAAAATTACTAGTTAAAGTTAATTTTAAATTAAGTACATGTTAAAATATAAGACATTTTCTTTCAACAAATGAGTCTTTAGGAATACAAGTATTGAGTGTGGCAGCCTACACTCATTTGAATGCAAGTGTCAATTGTTCTACATATTTTATGATACAAAGGTTGTCTTTTTGTGGTCATATTGAGCAAGAAAGTATTTGGATTTCTGAATATACTTCTTGCAACAAAAAGATCAAATCGTTTCAAAGATCATGTGCTTGGTTAAAAGCACTAACGAAGTGTAAGGTTCTCCCCTTAGTTGAAAAGTTCATGAGAAATTAATTTGGAATATTATGAGATGTCCAAAATTCTCTATATGTGTGTGAAGAAGTATTGAATGTTCTAGAAAAGTATGGAATTCACTAAAACCGTGTGAGATTGTATGGAATTCACATTCTAGAGAATTGTGGAAATCTCTAGAGGCTTAGTGATGTATAGAACATTTTAGAGATGCCTTGATGAGATTAGTATTAATAAGAGTCAGACTCCTCTCCTAGTACCTTGTGGTCTGATGGCATCACTGCTGATCTCTCAAAGAGGAGATCGCAGGTTCGAGTCTCATCCCAATCAAGGATGTTGGCATTAACAAGAGCAGATACCCATATGTTTAAAAGAATGTTCCAAAAAAAAAAGAGTCAGACTCCTCACTTATATTATTAGAACCTTGAAAAAGCGCTTAAGTGATCAGTGAGAGTGAGAGTCTTCTTGAAGGAGAAGGGTGAGAGCCTCCTTGTGAGAGAAGAAGGTCCAATGATGTCTCTTGATGAGTGTGAGCTAGTGAAGCGGATTCTTGAGGGTGAGAGGAGACAATTCAAAAGACATTTCATAAGTGTGTGTGTGATCGAGTGAAGTAGCGTGAAGTAATCTCATATACAAACATTGAAGTGAGCTACTCATTTACCATAAAATACCTCATGTACATTTGAAATGTATAATAGAAAGTGATATTGTCATGTTGAGTCTTTGTATTTTAAGAGTCTAGAAGAGTGTGAGTCATATGAGCTCATGATACAAGAAGAGGTCGGTGGTCGTGTTTACCCAATACGAAGTTATTATGCAACATTTTGAACATATGAAAATCCATAGGATTGTTTTACCTATGTTATAGAAATGAATCAAATAGTATGTAATGAACTATAATTAGTGTTACATTTTTATTATATTTTTGATCAATTACACTAAACTTTTAGCCTGGTAGCTCGTTCCTCAATACAGCTTAGGTAATTTGTATTATATTATTGATGTACCAAAAAAAGCTTAGGTAGCTCGTTCCTCAATCCAGCTTGAGGTACACATTTTTCATACACACACATACACACTCATGTTCGTGAAGAGTATTTTTTTTGTCTGTATACAGACATAACGTATTTTTCAAATAGATTTTTTGGCTCGTTCCTAGGGTTTCTTATTACTTCCCTTTTGCTTGATAGAGACATACACACGCATGGTTTTTGTAAGTATTTCACTCTTCCTTTCAATTTTTAAATATATCTACATGAAAATTGAAGGAGAGATTTTGTGAACATGTGAGTTTGCAAAAATCTATTTGTACGCACTTTCGTATATACACCTTGACACCGTGTACATACCTCTGTGAAAAGACTTTTTGTCGAGTGAAATGCATAAATGGTACATTAGCTATTGGTATTGTTGAGTTTTGGTACCTTAACTTTTAAATGAAACGGATCAGTACAATAACTATACATAAATGTTTCAACTTGGAATATAATTCAAATTTGAGGCCAAAAAATCCTATGTGACGATCAAAATTTCGGCCGTCATGTATGTTGTTGGGTCGGAAATATGAGTAACATTACAAGTTGAAACATTTATGTATAGTTATGGTACCGATTTGTTTCATTAAAAAGTTAAGGTACCAAAACGCAATAATACAATCACGTAAGATACCATTTATGCATTTCACCCATTTTTATCTTCGAATCTCGTTCACAAACAAAAAGTAGCCTTCTCATGGAGATGTGTATAGAGTGTGTATAAGAAAGTTTGTACAAGAAGAATGATTGGTGTGAGTTTATACTGAAACTAACTGCAGGGGAATTGAAGGGAAAACTGAAAATTAATCAAAAAGAAATCTTGCAAGCCCTAAAGCTTGTGATTTATTATGGATCTCAAGTATCTAAGTAGTCATCTACTATCTTGGCATGTAATGAATATAGAGAGCCAAAGAGACACTTACACCAACCCAAATATCTAAAAGTGACTACATCCACCAAAACTAATTTACAAAGACAATTGTCATCAATTAAGCTAAGTGACTCTATTGGCCTGGCCTTTTCACCTCTTTGTTATGCATTTGTGGGCAGTAAGAAACCCATTAGGAGGGCCTGTCATCTCAACTTGGCATCTCCCATGCAACCAATAAGAATAGTGAACCGGACCCATATTCGCCCTCACCTTGAAAACCGCCTTGATGTTGAACACAACCCGGTTGTTCATCACCTGCTTTTGGAGCCCTAAGGCATGGTTTGGTGGCAGATAAACCAAGCTTGATATCAGATTAACTTGCACCATTTTCACTTCCCCTTTCCCCCCACTAAAGGGTTCAATAAACTGAGTTGCTATCAAACTGTCATAAAAGTACAGCTCTATTTCCAGACTCTCATACCTGACGTTCAGTCTCCTGTTTGGGTTAGTAAAGTTGGCAAGAAACGAGATCTCCCCATTCACAAACTGAAGAGAGTTTATGTAGACAAAGTTCAGGGTCCCTGCAGGCGTGTCAAAAACTGGGGTTCTGGGTTTGACTGAAAGGAAAATGACCAAAGTGGCCACCCCGGAGAAGATCAACAGTAAGCTGAAGATCAAACAAGAGATTGCAATACACCAAACTAACGGGTTGGTCCTGTTGCAAGATTTAATACGTATAATAGGGTATTCATCTGCTGGTTTCTTACTGACCTTGTTGTTCTTGTATGGGGTTTGCAGCTTGTTTCCTGGTGAAGGGGTTTGCTTGAAGGAAGGTGGCAACTTTATTCCTGGCGGTGGTGGGGGGAGAATAAGCCTGGGAGAAGAGTGTTCTTCAGGGGAAAAGAAGCTAAAGCTCTCAGAAGAAGTCATGCTCACTACTCGATCACTAAGTATTATTGATGGAAGATTTGAAGCCAAACACGATCTGAAGATGATGAATCTTATACAAGCATTACATGTAAAGCTGGGTAGAGTTATTGGGCAATGTCACAGTCGGGCTATAATAATTTGGTAAAGTGGGAGTTATCATTATGAGATGTATGTGTGGTTTTCATTTTGAATTCTACGTCTCTGATCAATGGGCAACACTAAAAGACGGGTAAGTGGCCCTGCAAAGGGCTTTCTTTTGCGGAGCCTTTTGTCGTCGTTATATACTTTTTTTGAAGTTGTAACACTTAAATCTTTGACCTGTGTTTAATAATCATAATTATGCACAATATAATGCTTTCCTACCAAACACGGTTTCGGGGGGAAATAAGTTCTGGTTTCCATATTTTCGACATGGGCAAACATTATTTTGTGCACAAAATTCTATGTAAATGAACCCTGTTTCAAAATGTTGGGAGTTATGTAAGGGGTAGAGACGGTATACAAAGCCCATTAGGGTTAGGGTTATATTCTCTTTAGATACCCGCCCTCTCAATGTAATCTGGATAATAATAAAAATAGTAACATCCTAGATTAATAGCGCCCCAGACATAGTCATTCTTGATGAACCGGGTTACCAAATTCTCGTGTTTTCTTGTTGCTTCTTCGTATTTTGGGATTGTTATATCCTAACAAGTTAGATATATACTTAGATTTGGTAGTGCCGTTCACCCAAGTACATCCATGGAATTGTAAGGGGCCCTATCTCTTTTCGAGATGACATATACATACACCATGTATAGTAGTACGAAAACTATCGGGAAAGAATATATTTTTCGTTTCAAAAAATTTACAAAAACTCTTTGAAAACTCTTTAAATAAGTGTTTTTGAGCAAATGTTGACATTTCACATTTCATGTTCTCTTATGATTTTCACGTTTTTGACTTTCCGTGCAACATAGTACTACGTATATACATCTACCAACAGGGGCGGAACCAGGGGTGGGCGAGCCGGTGCCGGCGCCACCCCTTGGCCGGAGATTTTTTAGTAGTACTATTAGGTCTTCAGATCGGCGCCCCGTGTGCTTTCATCTTCTTCCTTAATCCTTTGGACGGCCGAGCGAGATGCAGCGAACCAGACCGATTGAGAGAGATGCAGGGGGCTGCCTGATTTTTTAATAATTAAATCGGCCAAAACGACGTCGTTTGGTTAAGTGCAAAGAAAAAGAAGAAACGACGTCGTTTTGCCAAAATATTACTCCGTATGATATACGCGTTCTGTCCGTTGACCCGTCTTGTTTCCAGTTCCCCTCATTTGCAGGTCGTTGTTCCCACTCTCCGATCATGCATACTCTAGTTTCCTAGTTTGGTATTGACTTTTAAAATTGAAATCTTCCTTAATTACTATAATTGCATTTTAAATTTAATTAGTTATTTAATTTGAAATTGAATTGATTAATCGATTTAAAGTCTAAATCTTTTGCATGTTTATTACTCCGTAATTAATTACTTTAATTGCTTTAAAGTTTAAATTTTTAATTACTTGAATTCGTATAAAGTTAGAATTTTATGTGCAATTTTTTGATTAATTATTTTCATTGCTTTAGTTGATTTAAATTTTAATTGATTAATTGCTTCAACTCTTTAAAAGTTTAAAGTTGAATATTTTTAACTTGTTGGGTTACTCATGCGCTCATGTCCATGTTACTATTTGTAACATGAGGCGTTGGTCTTCTAGACGAGATAACGAAGAAAGTAATAGAGAAAAACATCCTCGTGTCGAATTTAATCCAAATGATATTGTGTCTTATCCTGGATTACATAAACTAATCAAAGATTATAATTCTTTTATTAGAGACCAAGTTCTGAGAGAATATTTAACAAGAGATTCGTGTAGATCAATTGACCATATGTGTATATCCTAAGAAAGCGAAATGTAAAGATAAAAGAAGTTTTCAACCTGCTTCGTTTAATAAATTGTCACAGCTTCTTCTTTTAACATTTAATTGTAATGTAATGTATTCTTCTCACAAATTTTATATTCTTTAAACTTTATTAACAATTTATTTCTTTAAATTTTATACTCTCTCCGTCCCGAAAAGGTTGACCAAAGTTGACTTTAATGTGGATTGATAAAGTATTAAAGTATAAACTGTGTGGTTAAAATTTGTGCATAGGAGAGAAAATTAATTTTAGCCACATATTCCTCACTTTAAATGAAAATAACTAATCTTTTTGGGACATCCAAAAAAGGAAATTTGGTCAACCTTTTTGGGACAGAGGGAGTAATACTTTTAGCCACCCCTTTATTTTTGTTCTGGTTCCGCCACTGTCTACCAACATGATACTGATCGATATGTAAAGTATAAATAGGGTGCTTTTAATTAATTTGGGGCCGGGCAAACAACTTTTGTTATCTAGTGTTGCTGCTTTTTCATCTCTGTTGATACTTAACCACTAAGAAAGTACTAGTAGTGGAAAACCTGAAAACCATTTCTTTGATATCACGCCTTCAAAGAACAAATTATTTCGGCCGAAATCTCCAACACTTTGAGTGTGAACTTAAGTAGAGAGTTTAATTTATTTACTGTATTAGATTTGGTATAATGTACTTTTCAAATTGAGAAAATTTTCTCCTTTCCCATTACTTATTAGTCCTTTCTCAAAATAATTTACTTTCAACATCTCATAACATTATTCTCACTTAACATTTTGAAATGTCCCAAAAATGTCTTCTCATTTTCCTTTTTGGAAAATTTTGTGTGCCTAAAACTCATTTACCTTTAGCTTACTAAAAAACAATCATATATTTCAACTTTATTTACAATTTCTTAAACTTTGATCCAAGCCAAATCAGGAAGTATTTTATGAGACGGATGGAGTGTTTGTTGTTTTTAAGAAAAGTAGAAATATGTGGTTGATAATGAGTTGATAAAGTGGAAATAGAGTAAAAATGAATTTGAGCCACACAAATGTTACCAAATATGGTATGACACAATAATAATGGGACATCCAAAAATGAAACAGTAGGACAATTATAGGGGGACAGAGGGAGGAGTATTCAACCCTAATTTATAACCCTTTTGTGATCGATCGATGGCTTCTCTCGACCCCCCTCCCCCTCCCCCCCCCCCTCCCCCCCCCCCCCGAACGGAAGAGGTGTGCCCGCAGGACGATCCTGGGCATCCTCTCATGTGAGTCCCTCTGCACAACTATATCGCCTCTCGTGCAAACTCTCTTCACGGTTGCATCATCACCACCTCTCTCTTTCTTAATATGTTGTGAAAGAACTACTTTTTTTTTGCGACTATCGATGGAACTTTTCAGCGCACCTCTCTCTTCCACCACGCCTTTCTCTTTCTTCTTCAACTGCGCTCTTAGGCAGGAGAGGGACAGTGGGAGACTCGATTGGCGAGGTGCTCCGGCCTTCCTTGCTCTAGCCGATGTCATAATTGACGATGATGTACTAAACTTTTGCAGTGAATGAATGCGTTAAGGGACGGTGGTGCGCATGTAGTAAATATATCAGAGGTAATGGATGATGTCACAATGAGTTTCTTGTTGTTATTTAATACTATCCTCCGTTTCTTTTTAATCGCAACATGTTGAATTTTACACTATTCACATGTTCTACTTTGACTAAATTTTACAGTATTATTTTATGAAAATTATTTTTTAAAAAATATCGTTCAATTCATTTCATTACAAATTTTCAAAATCTGATTTTTAATTATTTTTTACTAATAGAGATTAAGATATAATTACTGTCCAAGACGTGTGTTAGCAAGTGTGAAATGTTGACCGTTGCAACTAAAAAAGAATGGAGGAAGTAACATTGAGTGGTTACGCTGACATGAAGAGTAGTGAAACACTATGACGTATAGGCAAAAGAGTAATAATGTCGGTGAGAAGAGAATTACATCGGGAGAAGTGTAGTGATTCCGACAGGAAGTATTCCAATGTTGACTAGTAACACTTGCATGATGTGAAGTGAATATGTTTTAATTTATTTTCTATACATTTCTTGGAAGGGTATTTCGTCCTACAATAATAATATAGTTTACATGACTAAGTTGGTTTCCGACAAATATATGATGTGTATGTACACGACCAAGTATCATTGACAGTGCCCCAGAAAGTGTTGAAATTTAATCAAACCTGATCAGATTTTGACTCAACCTCGCATGGTTTTAAACCAAATTAGATTTTCTCACGTTCTCATGCATGCTTTGTTTAATCTTGTTAGATATACCCGACTTGGTGTGACACTAATCAGATTTTACATCTTTATTTGTCTCCTATGAAGTTTTCTCTTGTCTTCAAGCTTCTTCCGTATGCTTCCATGCTCCTTTCTCTTGCTTTTCCATCATGTATCTTGCTTACATGTCAATATATCTTAATATCTTCTAATTCTAGTCTTATTTAAATAAGGAAAATTAGGTATTATTAATCTCAACTATACGCGGTCCGCTTTTAATAATCCCTAGTATTGTTTATTTCCCTGTGCTCCCAACTTGGGCCCCCCTTTTCCAAAAATAGACCTTGACACCCACGACCTGGACATCCGGTAAAGCCTCAAACAAACAAGTGAAAAACAATTACCGCCAACTGATACCCCATAACACTTACGTTCCTCTCACCCGTTCCAATAACCACATTTATCCATATGTTCTGAGTTGAATACAATGTCAATTGGAGGTGGAGAATAGCCGTTCGCAGCACACCGGATTCCGAACAGCAGAAGACACAAGTGTAGGTAAACCTTAAACACCTGCTTCATTTGAGTTATGTAAATTGTAATAGTAGCGTGTTCACAAAAATCATATGAAATGTTCATGGCAGATTTTAAGGTTTGGTTCGTACAGTACATAATTGATATAAATGTTTATTTAATTGTAGGTTATAGTTGAGGAATCTGAAGTTCCGATGGCTACTTCAAGTGTTATTACAATTAAGATGTGGCACGGTGGTATATTTAAGAAGAATAATCGAAATATGTTAGAGTATGGAAATGGTGACTATAAATGCTTTGATATTGATGCAGATGAGTTGTGCTGGTTTTGGTTAGAGGAATTAGCTGGTAAATGTAGGAAATATAGTAGTATGGATGAGATATATTACTTGATTCCCAGACAGTGCCTTGAAAAAGGTTTAAGAAGGGTTAAGTTTGATGATGAAGTCAGGGAAATGTACAAGTTGTGTATGCAATACAGAATCATTGATTGTTACATAAGGCATGGATTAAGTTGTCCCGAATTAGTACTACTACTTGAAGGTTCTGGGGATAATGATGGGGGGATATTGAGGTTGGAGGGCTGGTACCACAAAACCACAGTTCACAACAACCCCACCATTCAC